ATCCTTTTTACCGCCGATATCTCTGTCCATCCCAATACCTTCCTGGCAACATTTGCTGATGACACCGCCATCCTATCATTCAACTCAGATTCTGAAATAGCATCTTTAAATCTTCAAAGGCACCTCTCCATGATTGAGCACTGGTGTAATAAATGGCGCATCAAAGTAAACGAATCCAAATGCAAACACATTACCTTCACACTCCGCCGCAGGTCCTGTCCATCAGTCCACTTTAATTCCATCCAGCTTCCTTTTTCAGACACAGTCCGGTATCTTGGCTTTATCTTAGACCGAAGACTAACGTGGAACCCACATACTAGACTTAAAAGACAAGAACTTAACCGACGATACTGCCAATTATACAAACTACTGACCAGAAAATCTCAACTTTCATTTGACAACAAATTACTGATCTACAAGACAATCCTGAAACCCATTTGGACCTACGGACTTGAACTTTGGGGAACAGCAAAATTCTCTAACATCAAAAGCATCCAATCCTTTCAATCCAAAGTCCTCCGTCGATATAATAGTCGATGCTCCGTTCTATGTAACCAACAAAAATCTACATCATGACCTTAATATCCCATTTGTCCTTGACCTTATATCTTTGAAAATTTTTCAAAATTCCATCAGAACCTTATCAATCATCCAAATCCCCTAGCCCAATCTCTATCTAGTTCCACTCATCTCTACAACCCTCCTCGAAGGTTGAAGCGGCAGTATTTATCTTTTATAGTATTTATTTTTTAGTTCTGGCAATGGCCAGATTCTCCACTCAAGATATGAGTGTATGTGGCTAAAGCGCTCTCGCTCAAACTCAACCGGCTTTAACACCAGTGAGGCGGTTGAGAGAGTAGCGCAGGGATTTGGGTTCCCCGCCTGATTGTATATATTGTATATAGGTATGACTGTATTTTTATGTTTTTAATTTACTTATATTTAGGTTTTTTTTTTATTGTATATAGTTTTTATTTATTATTATTTAGTTATTATTTTACTTTTGTTAACTTTGTTTCTTTTTGGTATATACGGTGTGAATGTGTTCATTTATCAATATAATTATTGTCTCTGTGACAGAATATTATATGTCTAAATAAACAAATAAAAAAAAAGCTATACAAAAAAAAAATCCGTGCTGGGCTATGCTGATAATCTGGTACTGTTAAGCGAAGATGTTGAAACCATAAAACTAAATACGACAACGTTAATGAAAGCCGGTAAAGAACTTTTTTTTTTTATATCTGTTTATTGAGAAATAATAAATTTTGCTACACTTAAGGGCACTGAGTACTAAGGCTGAGTGAGGCACATTCATACCATATATACAATACCATAAAAAAAATATATATAAATAATAAATAAATATAAAAATCTATATAACAAAGGAAAAAACTATAATAAACCAAGGAAATGTAACTTAGAGTTAAAATTAAATGAAATATAGAAATTCGTAGCAAAATTAAATAAATTATAAGTAATAGAAATAAATAGAAAAACATTCATACTTAAATACAATATTTACAATTAGGCAAGAGAACTCCGAGTCCAGCCCTTTCCCTCACGTGTGAAGGACAAAGCGAGACTCTAAGAGACTCCAGCGCTTCTCTCTCAACCGCGTCGCCGGCATTACCAGTCCGGTGGAGACTGAGAGGGGACACTAAAACCACAAACACTCATGACTTGAGTGGAGAAGCTGGCCATTGCCAGAACTTCAGTGACGTCTCTACAAGAAATCTCGAGGCCACTGCCGTTTCAACCTTCGAGGAGGGTTGTAGGGATGACTGGAGCTAGATAAGGATTGTGCTAAAGGGTTAGGATGGTGGATTAGGTTCATGTGAAAATTTGAGAATCGGGATGGAATAACGTCAAGGATATAAGGGATGTAAAGGTCATGATGTAGGGTTTTGTTTGAGACGTAATAAGGAGCATTGACTATCATACGGAGGACTTTAGACTGAAAGGATTGGATGCGTTTGATGTTCGAAAATTTAGTTGTCCCCAACAGTTCAAGTCCGTAGGACCAGATGGGTTTGAGTATGGTCTTGTATATTAATAGTTTGTTTTCTGTTGATAGATTGGATTTTCTGTTAAGTAGTCTGTATAGCTGGCCAAATCGTCGGTTAAGTTCTTGTCTTTTAAGTCTAGTATGTGTGTTCCAAGTTAGTCTTTTGTCTAAAAGGAATCCAAGATACCGAACTGTGTCTGAGACGGGGAGAGGTACAGAGTTGAAAAGGATATGTGGACAGGATCTGCGTCGGAGGGTAAAGGTGACATGCTTGCATTTGGATTCATTGATCTTAATGCGCTAATTGTTGCACCATTGCTCAATTAGGGAGATGTGTCTTTGTAGATTTACGGATGCTGTTTCAGGATCTAGGTGGGATGACAGGATGGCGGTATCGTCCGCGAAAGTTGCGAAAGGGTATCGGGATTGGTTGGAATGTCAGCGGTGAAGAGGATGAAGAGGACTGGGCCCAAGACACTGCCTTGTGGTAAAGAACTAGTACTCGAAATAAACGTGAATAAAACAAATTATATAGTTAGCGGCAAAAATGGCGATACTACTGGTGATATCGATATAGATGGTAATATGTTTGAACAGCTAGAGAAATTTAGGTATCTAGGTTCTACGATAACTAGAAAAAAAAAAAAAACGAAATTTAAGAAAAGATTAAGGTTAGACTGAAGGCGGGAAATGCTTGTTATTTTTCTGTGACAAAACTATTTAGTTCGCGCCTCTTGTCCCGGAACTTAAAAGTTAGAATCTATAAAACAATTATCTTGCCTACAGTTCTTTATGGATGCGAAACTTGGCCGCTTACATTAAGGGATGAGCAGCGTCTTAAGGTTTTCGAAAATAAAGTATTTCGTAGAATATTCGGACCGAAGAAGGATGAGTTAACTGGAGAGTTCAGACGGTTACACAACGCCGAATTGCGTGAACTGTATCCGGGTAATATAATTGAGGTAATTTCATCGCGGCGAATCCATTGGGCTTGTAATGTTGTTGGACTTAGTAACGAGAGAATTCCTAAAAGATTAATATTTGCTGTGCCGAATGGTAAGCGTCCGAGGGGTAGACCGAAGCGAAGGTGGGAAGATTGAATTAAAGCCGATCTGAAGGGACTGGGTTTGGACGGCGAACGGTGGAGGGAGGTGTGTAATAAGCGATTGGTGGTGTCAGCATCGAACCTTCGGGTTCGCTAAGCCTTTTACTATTATTATTATTATTATTATACAAAAAAAATATGAAATAATTCAAATCGAATCAGTTTTAGCGTATTGAATGTATTCACTGATTAAAATTTGTCTGCAGTCAGCAAGAAAGTTGTGGGAGACGACGCATCAGATATTTTATACAAGCGGTTTCCAAGTAAAAAAGAATATATTCTTGAATTATATGTAAAGAATGCTGTAACCTTCTTATTTATGAAGTGTGCTTAATCTCAGCCCGCATTCTCATTTTACTGATTGTGTTTATCTAAGAATGTTTATAAAACTAAAGTATCCTATTCACGAAACATAATAACATAGTACTTTCCCTCATGTGATTATTTCAATGGAATAACAATTCTTCTTAATATTTTAATGAAATATTTTCATACTTCTTAATATTTTGATCGAGTCTGGCACCAGGGAATGCTTTACAAACTCCGTGAATTCGTACGCCCTTCACACTTTCTCTTAATTCGGTTTTACCTTTATAACATATACTATACTATACTATAAAGTAAATCACAATAATGTCTGTTAGTCCCTTTTTTTCAACTCTACTGGTTTAGAATAGTAATTGGATATTTCAATAAATGAAGAGGCAATTAATACACATACTTACCAATATATTCAGTAATAACATTAAGAAAGTCAAATATCTCAAAGATAATATAATTTATAATGCATCAGTGTTGCCACTATGCTATAGGTGGTTGGTATCCTTAGTCCGATTTATACAGTTAACATTCCAACCCATCTTAACTCTCTCATTCCACGTATACCGAAGAAACATATTTCTTACAATCAATTACATCCCGAACTCTTCAATCGCTCATCAACAAACCTTGAAAAATTGCCTAAAAACTGGAAGATTAAATTAAATTCCGATAAATTCCATCAAAATGCCTTCATCTTTCGTTATAAATCTATGACTTCACGTCTTATAGTATCCTTTAATAATACTAAACTTGCCCCTGTTGAAAAGATCTGATACCTAAGACTCCTACAGGATAAATTACTGAATTTTAATATTCATACAATACGTACTATCGATAAGAAATCCCTCGAGGTTTCCGTCTTCTCTAGTTTTTATTAGACATGCGATTTAAAGTTTCAATTAATTAAGAAAACTCATTATTTGACTATAGTAACGCCTATTAGATCTTAGCAGACAGGTCCCTCTGTAAGTCCAAATAAGCCATATATTATTATTAAACTCATGTATATGAGTCACTTGTAATTAATTGGAAACTTTATCCTGTAACAATTACTTGTTTTTTTTAAACTACTTTTATTAGATTGAAATTTTTAAAGTTTAAAATTTACCAATATTTAATAGCTTTTTGCATGTCAAAGAGGTGAACACCAAGATAGAAATTAAAATGCTGAGTTATCTAATCTATATATATATATATATATATATATATATATATATATATATATATATATATATATATATATATATATATATATATATATATATGTCTGCAGTCTGCATTTAACAATATATTAAATATAAAAAAATAATAATAAAATTGAACATGGAAATATTTTCCAATTCATTTTCTTTACCACTTTGCCAGACTAAGCCGCCAGATAAAGGTAAAGCTAGTTAAATTTAAATTGTCCTTAATATTTACACAGTTTAATGATTGATTAATCATCTCCATATGATAGCCCATATCTATGAAATAATAATTATCTACCAAAGAAAGCATTATCATTCATCTAACAAAGGGCAGATTGAAAGATTGAACCAACCAACATCAATCAGTGTTATCTAACCCATATGTCAACGAGTCAGCTGAGCTGAGTCTTGAGACCAGTAATAAAAGCCAGCCAGTCCGACTGATATCTTCAAACAGAACACAGTTAAAATGATTTCATTACTTTTCTTACTGCTGATTAAGACTGTAGTGGCTAGTGATGCCGTTGGTGAGTATAAATTAATTGTCATAGGAATGATACACAAACTAAAATGAATACATTAAAATAAATTGTTATACTTTCCATAGTTTCATCAACTCATCGAATAAATTTAACAGGATTTCAATTTTTAATCAATACATTTTATAAAATTCAATTTTAAAAATATAATATTCTAAGGCGTCAGTTCAATGTTCTTTTAGTAGTAATTATCTCCATCAACAAAGTGTTTTATTTTAATCTATATCGATAATGTTGCAAAAGGCCTCTAGTACAATCTTGGCACAACAGATATTCAAAAATACTATTTAAATTACACAACTGTCTTAAGCATGCATTACTTAAAAGCTATTTCTAGATTTTAATAATAAATATAAATTAAAGGGAAGGGGAAAATCAAGGTGTCACTGTTTACTTTCAGTTACCACTATATGTAATATATAGTAAGGGAAAGTATTGTGATCGTGAAAAATTATTTCCTAAAGGTTTGTTTTCGTTTATTTATGTTGGTCTTATTAATGTGTTTTGTTAGCTAATAATATTGTAATTCTTACAGAATAATAAAATCAGTTGTTAATAAACTAAGTTAAAAATTAAATTACAAGTATTGAGTAAAAAAGGAAAGAAGGGTCTTTTGCAGGGTCCAGTTGCTTTTTAATAGTAACCTGTTAATCTTTTATTGTGTAGTTTTAGCGAAAACTCTTTGATACTTAATAATATTGCCTTATACAAATCTTTTTTATGTATCTCTTCCCCCAAACAAATTCACGTACATATGAGTCCATCATATTTCTGGCTGTGTCACATTCTTTCTTGTTTCTTCTCAGCAGCCCATATTGGTTCTACACTTAGAGTGTTTGCTCCAGTATTAGGGTCTATGAAATTCTCAGGATATCAATTCCACAGTTAGGTATTTGTAGTGCATTCCTGAATTTTCCTATACATTCCTCCAGGTTCTCCATAAATCAGATATAATAGTACCTGGAAGAATTGTTTCTATAATGCATTCCAAGAGAGTTTCTGAGGTCATGTCTGGGATGGTGTACAGAAAGCACTACTTCGTCTATGACATATACCACCAAACACACATTGTTGGGGAAATACCCTCTCAACATTGTACTTCCGCTAAGGTTAGAAGCACAACTCGTTAATCTCCATAGTTGTTTCTAGCTCCTCCAATTTTGATTGGATTGTTAAAAACGTTGCTTGCACAAACCTCCCGCAGATGACTCCTTCAATCCGTTATAGTATGTTGTGCCATACCTAATTCTTTAGCAGCGTACTTCGTCGTAGTGTACTCCTCACACCAGGAATACATAAATAATATGGAAGTGGTTAGTGGTAAACCTGTAACCTCTAACCATGTATTGAAGAATATTCCCTCCTCATTATTACACGACCGTGCATAACACCTCCACCTGTCTTTAGCACCAAGAGCTTCATTTAGTGTCCTTTATCACAAAAGCTCTCCTTATGGATAATTCCAGCTTCCTGATAAAACGTGAAACCTTCCATCTCGTCGTTATTCAAACTGAAGTAGAGCTTAAATGAGTTCATTTTGCTAACTTAATCAATCTGTTAACAAACTTTTATATAATAGAAGAATAACAACAATGATTCAAATGTAACTGATACTTATCTATAACAATTACTATTGCCTATTTAAAAAACAACTGGCGGGGCTAATCTGCAAAAGACCCGAGTTTTGGCCACATGAATATTTTTTTTTTTTTGCTTCCTCACTACCGAAGGTAAGGAAGCATTGTATTCGTGCGAGAAGTTAAAAAAAAATGTACTCAGAATCGAAAATTTCCACTCGCGTCTTACGTTTCAGATATCAAGGATCAAATTTGGTTAGTTGCCTGCCTATCTCTCTGTCTGTCGGTCTGTCCGTAGTCAAATCGATATGAGGGGCATCGAATATTTCACCTGGTACCGTTCATCTGTTTTCCATGAAATTTTCAGGAATTGTGCAGATTGGTGCCTGGATGGTCCCATATCAGTTTTATCAAATTCCATCTAGCACTTTCGCTTACGAACATGATGCAAACGTATTATAAACGTTATAAAATTTTAGGTTTATTAAAAACTTAATTTATATTGTATTGTTTGTTCGATTCCAAACTTTACTGACATGACAGTTATTGCCGTTACATAGATTTTGTGTAATTTTTAGTAAATTTAAAGTAATTTTTACTCGGAATTTGCAAAAAAAAATATAAAATTTAAAAAAATATATAAATATTTACATTAACGTTCAACCAGCTCTTCATGGTCTCGATTTTCAAAATTGTGTCAACTACACTCATATTTTTATATTCCAGCTCAATTAGCTTAATTCTGACTGAAGAATAGTTTGGTCTCGTAAACTCCGAACAAACAAAAGGTTGAATTTTTCCTATGGATTTTTTTTTGCATCCAGTTTACGAATGAAAACGTACCTATTAAGTATATATCACTACTGTTAGTGCTAAGGTCGTATGTAAAAGTATTCAATATTTGACATTATGTAGTCTGCAATTGAAATAAGTAGTCCACTACTATGAAAAGTTAAAGAGGGCAATAAACTATAAAATTATAACTAATAAATCATAAAGAAAAAGTTAGTTTTTATGCTCTCCTGTAAAACACTCAATTTTTATATTTGTCATTTGCACTAACAGTAGCGAGATACATATTCAGTATGTACTGGATTTTTTTTTTTTTTTTCAATTACGAATTATCAAATATGCAATCTGCAAATGCGGAACTTTTTCGCATTGTAATATTTGCTGATAAACAAAACTCGTGGATATCAACCCCGTATATGTTGAGCGATTACTGAATTTCCGAAAACAGCTTCTTTCAGAAATTTTATTCTCATACGAAAAATTTTAGTTCTTTTAATATAGATGTTTGTTAGCAAATGAAAACGGTGAGAAAGCTATACTGACCTTACTTGGCAGACGTTTTTCATTTCATATGTTTTATAATAATTCACTCAAGAGGGTTACTCTCTCAACACCAACTAGACATGCATCGGTTAATACGTACGTGTCATTATTTTATCATATTAAAAAAGATGTTGATTTTCTTGATCGGTTTCTAAGTTCAATACGATTCAAGTCTAACTTCGAAAAACACGTCCTGACCTTCAGGTGTCATTCTTCGACTTTAGGAATGGGGTGTTTTCATACTCCTAAGTTTTTCTGCCACTTCCTTGGCTAGCAGTGGTACTCCTTTCTCTTTAATTATGAAAGCATCAGTTGCCTTTGAGTTTATAGAAATATCCAAGTTGGCTTTCCCTAGCACTGTTGAAGTATTCTCACTACTATGGTACTCCTATACTACTATGATAAGCGTATGAGCCCATAAGTTATCATTTATCTTATCTGTTTTAGAATGAAATTTCATTCCCTTTGACTTTAATCTATTCCAGGATTAGAGATCAATAACACAACATTCTGATCCTGAATCTATCATCATTGGAGTAAGAACACCCGACCATTAAACATGATTAAATATGACTATGATAACATAGTATTATCCGTGATAACCTTGTTTACACGAACCAATCTAAATATAGACGAATCACTAAAACTTGTCTCATCTTCCTCTCTCTCAACTTTTCTTAAAAATTTACCTTTATTTTTTCTTCTTTCATTATACCTGTTATAACCATTGCTGCTCAATTCTTCCTCTCTATTCCATGATCTGTAACAGTTGGCAAAATGTCCTATCTTGTTGCATTTATTACAAGTAGCTACTGTAAAACCATACCTGCCATTATTTTCATTATTATTGTTGAAAACATTGCCTTTATTCGTTTTGCATCTATTGAACCTTTTACTTGAACAAATAATTTAACAAATAAGGAAAAGCTCTTTACCATTTAATCCTTTCTGTAGTACCACCCGAAACATTCATTTGTTGCACACAGCAGTAAAACATTCACGTATGAGACTCGCAAGACCGAGAGGAAAACCCATAATCTCCTGGGAGATAGGCGTGCGAGATGTATTCCAGAAGCGAGGTTTAGAATAGAACAGGAGACGAGAGCTGGTACTGGAAAGGTCCACCTGGTCCAAGCTCTACAAAAAGCAACTTCACCCTGCATAAGCGGTAAAGAGAAACGAGATTATGATGATAATGACTAAAACATTCACTAAAAATGTATTACCATATGTAATCATCGCCAATTGTACTAACGGTAATAAATTATAAATAAATTATTTCAAAAGAGCTTGTGAATTTGTATTCTCTCAACATTTTATATCACATGATATATATTAACTTATGCTTCTAATGTTACCAACACTACAATTTGTTTTTATAACTTTCCATTAGAAAAATCGGTTGCTATGGATACCGATGTGAACCCAAACAATTTCAAACAAAAAAAAGTCAAGATTTTATTTTAATTCAGAAAACTAAAGATTGAATTCTAACGAAATTAGACACCAACAGGTAGAAAAAAAATTACTATCGACAAATTTGATAAAAAACAAAATGGATGGAGGAATGGATGGAACGTTATGATTCTGAATGTCGGAGACAGAACGTTTTTAATATACCAAAGGTTATCGAATTCCTTCGTTTCTTTTTATTTATTCTTTTTAAATGCCCCGCTAAATATAGGTATTTGAAAAATTTAATGAAGATAGGTTAATAATAGATAGGTAAATTGGTCGACATGGAAACAATAATTGTTAACAGTTGTCATAGATAAAGGTTGGAGGCTGGTCTCAAATTAGAAAAGCATATAGTTTTAAATATTTAGGCTGCTTATTGGTAGATTACCCATTAGCTACAGAAAGGTTATGTTTGGAAAGAGCAAATAAAAGTATATGATTGTGATGGAACTACCATCACTTGATCACATGGAACTTATACTAAAGATTAACTAGACAGACATTTACAGACTTAAATAATAAAAGTTAAACATCACAGCTGTTTATGACAGCGGTTCAACGTAAGCTCAATAAATCCACGAGTGATGGATCAATTAAAATCGAGTCTGATAAAATATA